CCTTTTATCTCCAGATTGAACTTGCAAATATTGGATTCTGTTGTGTGTCTGCCTGCTAATTTAGTCTTCTGAAATATCTTCTTGTCTAGTCCCTTAAAGATTATAATCTTCTCTTTGAAGCAAAACACATTTAGTTCAATGTCTCATTGGAAGGAGTCTTTTTTTTTTTTTTCCCCCAGACCTAAATCGTTCTTGTTGCTCTTCTCTGCGCTCTTTCCACGTTTATTTATTTTTATTTATTATTTAAATTAAAGATATTGTAGTTTCCCAGAGGCTTGCCTGCTTTGTTCACAGAGACGTTATGGTTTGCTTGGCTTCGTTCACATTCCTGTCTGCGGCTGTCCCTAGCTAAGCAAATGGTACAGATCTTCATGCCTGCCCTCACGGAGAGAGGTCTGATGCCTTTGATGAACTGATGGAAAGAGCAGGCAGGTGTTATCCAGAATCCAACCTAAAGGTTTTATTGTCTAACACCATTCAGAAACTGTACCCAGAAATAAAGTAGGATCTATTCCAAAAGATCGTGTCTATTCTTAGCAACAGCTAAATCTTATGATCATCATGGTAGACCCGTGTGACGGGAGGGCCGTGTTCCAGGGGTGAGGTGATAAGGCATGTATAATGCATGCCTTATCATGGGGGGGCATCTCAAGGAGGAGAAATCATGGCTTTCTGGATATAGAAAGGAAAATAATAAGGTGTAACATTCTTGTAGTTGTGCCAGCTGCTTTGCAGTCATTGGAGGGCTAGCAGTACTGTTACCCGAAATAGTAGTAACACAAGAAAAGTAATTCTGTCATTTTCTGTCAGTCCGCTCTCTGCAAAGAATGCAAATCAGACTCTAGGATTAGACGAACGATGATGCTTTCAACGCATTGCACTGAAGGTGGCGGGTAAGCAAATAGATCTAAGTAAGAAAAGTCATGGGCTTTTCACAAGGCAGATCAGGAGCTGATCAACCTCACCCGATTGCTTCAGAGTCCTGCCAGCCCAGCTTCATGCAAGGGAGTGGTCTGAAATCTCTTGACTTGGTTTATTCTTTTCTCTCCTGTCTTTCTAGAGTAGTTGAAAATTTCCTTTTTTTTATCCTTCTGTTCACAAAAAGGAAGGAAAACTGGGTGGGGTGGAAAGTTCTTCCCCATCATATGGAAGAGGGGGGAAAAAAGGGAAAAAGAAAAAAGCTGACCGTAGAGGCATGGAAGGAAATTCATGTTGAAAAGATGGTGGTGATGGGAAATAGGAAGAGTGTAACTGTGATCCCTCTATGGATAATTTCTTTCAAACAGGCTGTGACAAATACTTGCGGTATCTGAAGAAAAAGATAATATGCTTCGGATATTTGTTTTATTCTAGTTGCATTTGAAGAGTTGTTCAGGAAACCTTTACTTTCTTAATCTTCTTTGCCACTCCATATTGTTGTGACAACACAGATACAACATGGATTTTGCAGTACCTTTCTGTTACTAGGTCTTGTTACAGTAAATGCATATGTGCATCTTCAGCTTTTACTTCTGGTACAGAAACGATTTAAGCATCTTATTTGGCCCCCTTCTTGAGGTTTTCATTTGGTCCTCGTTTAGGTAGGTTTGTGTTCCTGATCAGTTTTATTTTAGTGAGGGCTAAAAAATGGATGGTACTCAAATGGATCTAGGCCATGAATATCTTCTCTACGAATGTGCTGTGCTGTGTGTGTTAGCATACGTTATGGTGAAATACACAGAAGCCAAGCACTGACACTGCCTCAAAGTAAAAGCAATGGCAAGAAGGTGTACAACTTTAAAACATCCCATGACACTTTCTTTAAGTACAGCTTTTTAGTGTGAGTGGGCTGACCCTTTCCTAGTATTTTATTTTTTCACCTGATTTGTTAAATAAGGTTGAATGTTGCTGCAGGCTGAATTACTGTGGGTATCATCTCAAGAAGTGATCCCTGCAAAGGCAGGGCCCAGAATATTGCCTGATTTCCATAATTAGCTCTGGCTATTACAACTGAGTCTCTCAGAAGAGAGCGCACAACAAATATCCACAGTATTCAGAAGGTGCATAAAGTCTAACTTTATTTTTTCAAGTTGGGTGGTGCATTTTTTTGGGGGGGGAGGGGGAGGTGGAAAAGAGCCCGCACCATGCTTTAAAGCTTCATTAACAAAACTTTACACAAGGAGGAGATGTTAATAAGTAATGGAACAAAGGCTCTGTTATAGAGATTAAATGTGCATGTGTCTAAGTACAAAGTTCGTGTTGCAAAGTGCAGCTGTTTCTCTGCTGGCAACTCTGCAGCAGCCCCAGAGCCCTGGGTTCAAAGTCTGCCCGCTTTCCTGTCGCAGAGCTGACCGGGGCAAGGTCTGGCCGAAGTTCAGAGTTCAGTGTCTGAAGGCTTGCTGGCTCTGTCTGCTGTGCTATCTGACGCGTCCGGGGTAAGCAATAGTTGGTTTAAGATTGTAAGTACAAACAACAAAAACTTCCCATTCTCTTTTCTGATGTGTCAGATTTCATTAAAGGAGGAATGTTTTGGAAGCAGCCAGTGAACTGTTTAAAAATAATGTGCTGTATAATAGAGCGACCTAACCAAACCCCACTGAAGGAACAGACTAGTAAAATGATGCATGCAGGAAATAGCGCCTGTTTGTGTTCTCCTTCCTCCTGAGATTTATTTAAATGAGGAAAAATGAAGTAAAAGAACTAATTCTCTATATACAAGGAGGAATGTTTTGGAAGCAGCCAGTGAACTGTTTAAAAATAATGTGCTGTATAATAGAGCGACCTAACCAAACCCCACTGAAGGAACAGACTAGTAAAATGATGCATGCAGGAAATAGCGCCTGTTTGTGTTCTCCTTCCTCCTGAGATTTATTTAAATGAGGAAAAATGAAGTAAAAGAACTAATTCTCTATATACAAAGAGATGAAACAGAACTCTTTTTTTAAACCTCCTGAGATTTATTTAAATGAGGAAAAATGAAGTAAAAGAACTAATTCTCTATATACAAAGAGATGAAACAGAATTCTTTTTTTAAAAAAAAAAAAAAAAAAAGCTCGTCCATGTGTTTCCTTTGTGTCACGATAATGATCTTCCACACTGTGGGGGTGAAGAGAACTTAATATGTCTGGATATTCTGCTTTCATATCCTCCTTTTTCTCTTCCTTCAAAGGCTTTTTACGAAGCTAACCCCAACTTTCTCCTTCAGAAGGGCTGCGAACTCCACCTGTGCAGCTTTTTTGATTAGCTGTGGTCATATCAAAGGCTGCTCTACCCAAGCGCAGACCCTGAGTGAGAATGGTGACTGACGGCTGAGAGCAAAGGCTGGTACAAACACCCTTGGAGGAATTTATATTTCAGGCAATGCTGTAGCTGTACTACAGACGGAGAAAAGTTTCCTTCTGTTGCCACATCCTTTCTCAAGGAAAGGATGGTAAACCATGGGTGGTAAACCAAGTCATCAGTGCTCAGTGCCCACAGTGTGCCGCAGGTCTGAGCAGACTGCTGTCATCTCACTTCACTGAAAGGAACATGAATGTTCAGAAAACTTTCTCTGACAGCAGAGGTCTGCCCTCTTTGTATCGCAGCTTCTGTTTCTCTGTGTTCAGTAAACTTAATCATTGAAAGCCACAATTAAAAACAGGACAAAAAGAAGCCAGAAACATGAGTTCTGGACCAAAAGATTTGTGTGTTTAGATATGATTGATTTTTCCCTTCCTGAAAACATTCATGAGACCATCAAACACCAGAGGAGCCTTCCTCTGATGAGTCAGTTCTATCTTTTCGTTATTACCCCAGTTCTAACCTTCCGCTTCTGAGTAATGTACTTGAAAAGGTAACAGAGACCAAGCAGGAGCCCACAAAGTTACAGCGAACGCTCCAGACCAGGGGTTGTAAGGTTCCAGATAGGCACGTGAGCAACTTAGTGCTCAAAAAAAAAAAAAAAAAAGGCAGCCAAGGTCAAAAGGTCCAAAATAATGTGTTATAATGGCTGAGCCCTTCCTGGGAGGATGTGGGGAGGAGAAATAACAGGAACTGCACCTCTGATGTTCCATTCCTGTCCTGGACTGTGGAAACTTAGGAGTATTCAGGTTTTTTTCTGTTACTCTTTGCTGTCTCCATGCAACCACTGTAGTGGACAGATCAAGTCTCTGAGACTAGTACTGTATATCCATAATTAGTTAATTTGGTCTGCACTGATGCAAATCCCTGACATAGCAGCAACTGTGAGTAACAATTTGTTGCTCCCACTGCTGAAGTTCCACCCGAGTCAGTTTGTCACATCTCTTTGCTAAACTGATTATACCTGGCCTTGAAATCCTTGTTTCATAAGAAACTCTGACTAGTGCCATTACTCTCCCTAGCACTGTAGGCTACTGAAAACATAAAAAGATGAGGAGAAGATGATGAAATTAACAGGTGTAACACACGTACATTGCCTACTGCACTGATAGAAGTCCTTCAGATGGTATAGCTCTGCTAGGTGGTAGCTACAGATTTGAGCCTTGGCTTGCCTTATCCAAAAAGATGGCCCTGTCAGGCTATTACCTACTGTGGAGCGGGTTTCTTTCATTCTTTTCTTTTGGCATTGACCATATTTTATTAATAACATATTTGTAGGGGAAGGTATAATGGGAGGAAGGAGAAGAGTCCCTATAGCTCTGTGGTTAGTAAGGTTGCATGGGCTGGGGTGGTAGGCTGAAGTTCAGGTACGTAGTCCAAATCAAGCAAAGCAGGAACTTGGGCCAGGTTTGCAAGGTAACAACTATTCTGGTCGTTGGCTCTGCTGAAGTAGATGGGTGAAAGTTATCCCTCCCTCTCTTGCTTTCCCTTCCCCCTATTCTCATGACAGTCTTCTGTGGCTGTGTCACCTGGTTTCAGTTAGAAATACAAGAACAAACAGGAAAATTACTTGCAACTCAATTGTTTGGGGTTTTGGGGTTTTTTGTTGGTTTTTTGGGTTTTTTTTTTTTTTTTTTCTGGGTGTATCTGCTTTTGTTTAAAATTACTTACTTTCTCAGCAGATAGTCTGAGAATCATCCCACCTGCTGCCTACCTGAACCAAGAACCAGACCCTGGAGCAGGACTGTGCCGGTACTATTTGGCTGCAGATCTACTGGGATCCTGGTATTGAGAGAGACCTAACAGGTAAGTAAAAGTCAGTTTGTTCAAGGGGCTGAGGCCCTTAGAAGAGAGGAGTACTAGTGCTATGTGCCCCTGACTGAACAAAAATCCCAGGAAAAAGGTGTGTACATGCAGATATGACTTGCAGGTGTTTTTATCTTGAAACTAATCTCTTTCCACTAAGAATCTGTGTCTGTGAGTTGTTTTCTTCTCTGTTTACACACTCCACAGACCCTGTTTTGTCATCCCTTCAGGTAAGGCTATCAGAAAAGCCCTCCTTCAATCAAGCTTCCCTCTTCTCATTCAAATTCAGATGTCTTAAGAAAATACAGAGGAATTTCCTTTGGCAGGAATACTGGAAGAAAACAAACAAGAATAGTGTAAAATAGGATTGGCACAGCTGCCCTTGGGCTGGGGTTTTTTATGTGTTTCTGATTATTTTTCTGGTTTTGTTCTCCACTTCAGAATCTTTCTTTTCTGCATGTCTTCTGCATTCAGTCTTGTCCATACTGGAGTGGTAGAGCAAGAGGGCTTGTCTGCAGCTGAAGTTTTACTGCTTTATTCTGCTGGCGTAGTTAAGGCAAATCCTCCACCATCTCTTGCTGCTTCGTAATGCAGACTGTGTTATATCAGTAAGAAGGTGCTTGTACAGATACTTATGATGCTCTGTAAAGCAAACTGACATCTATTATTTGATGCCATATTTATCCAGTAAAACTGTGCACTAAGACTTCTAGTGATATAATTACTTAATTTTAAAAACCATATTTCAAATAAAACAATTGTATACTGGGTAAATGTTAAGAGCAGAAGAGATCTCTGGGTAACTCACGACTTTATAAGTTGTTAATAATGAAACTAATACACCTTCACTTTAAGTAGTGGACACACTTTGTTACAAAATTAAGAGAAGAGTGAAGTAAAATGGAGTTATTTTTGTAGGTATACATACATTTGCTGTATACGGACTTTGATAAACTTCTTCAAAAGAGTTGTTCAAACAGTAAGTTTTTTTTCCTTCCATCCAGGTTAAATATTTCACTGGCAAGAACCTCAGGTCCTATAGCATGGCCTGCTCTATGTAAAATAATGATTGAAATGTCTGCTTTTCTAAAAAACAAACAAACAAAAAACAAATTAGTAAAATCATCAAATTTGCTTACAACCTCTTAATTATGGCATAATATTGGTGAAAGGTTCAAATCTTCATTACAAAAGGACCTTGTTCCTTTTGGTCTTTGTCTGACATGAGATTTCCTACGAAAACACAGATTTGTATTGCCTCTGTGTTAAGTGGAAGGTTCTGCACGATCTCGTCCATCTGCATCTGGGCTCTGGTTTGCCGTAGTTAAGGATGGAGCTCTGTGGTTTATTGTGGAGATGCTGGTTTTAAATTTGGAGTTCAGATTGTGGTAGAAGCTTTTGGTCTACTGGGATCTCAATTCTCAAAAACATCTCGATAAACTGCCACCTAAGGTGGGAGTGATTTAAATATTGAATGATATTTTGATTGGAAAATGAACAGATGTAGAAGGATCTTCAAGAGTTAACGCAGAATTTATTTCTTGCCAGTGTTTGTTTTAGCTTATTCTTCCTTTCTGCAAGTCACTCTCACACTCTGGGATTGATCCAGATTCCTGCTCTTGTTCCCCAAAGTGCTCCCTGCTTGACTATCAGTACAGACATGTAGTTTTCATCTGTGGAGAATTTTCTAACTTTTTAGTCATAACTGAAAATTTATGTGCTAAGTTCAACTCAATGAATTACATGACAAATCTGCAGCAATGCAGACGCCATCAGGGAGACAGAGAGACTGGCCGTCTGTCTTGCCAAGTATCTCGGCAATCCTAGGACAGAATAAGCTTTCTAATGCGCGGCGTATGTGACAATGAGATGTGCTGACTTTTTGATATATACGTGTACAAAGTTCCTATTAAAGCTTTTGTTTCCAAATGTGAGTTTGACACAGCTGGGTAGATACTGTGCTTTCATATCTGTTGGAGACAGGAGAGGGAAGGGACAACATTAGAGCCTTTTAGTACGTTATCAGCTGTGCTGGTCGGCAGTGTGAAGATCAAAAAGAAGGAGCAAGCGTACTCCTCACAGCTTTTAAGGTGTGTGCCTGCATGTGTAGGGTATTAGGTTCCATAATGCAACTTAAATGATCAATAATTAGCTTTTGTTTATTTACATGAATTGAAATTAGACCTATATACTATTTTGAAATATTTATTCATATTTCAAAACTTTGTGCTATTTTTTTATGCTGAATGTATACCGTCACCATGCTTTTATTTCCTGTGTTCACAAGCAAACTTGCTTCCTTGTAAGCAGATGAATTGTTTACTTTTCGGACAAAATAAGAACATGCCCTTTGGAAATAAATCGTAGCATGATCTGGTCTGGCTGAGAGACTGGTAGGTACGCATTACACAAACAACGGGTGTTCAAATTTATTGCTACGGCTAAAATACCATTTGCTGAAACATGTATATAAGGATCTCTGAGAATGCATGAAAGATTTAAAAATGTGTCTGGATTTTTTTTATCCATATCCCGTTTAGATAGCTCATTTTTAAATAATAGTGAAATTGTTTTGGCTTATTTGGTTTCAGTCATCATTGGCTGAAGAAGTGGAGACAAGACACAATAATTGGTTATCTTCAGTTACATGTTAAGATGTATTTTTTCTTTTCTGGAAAAAGATCCTTGAATTAAATATAAGTCAATTGATTTTTTTTCATGGATTTCATCTGAGCCGCAAACTTTAGGTCAACGAGACTTTGATTTCTTTTTCGAAATATCAAATCAATTTATGTGAAGGATAGACTGTAGGTTTGAATTTTAGTCTCAGTTTTCTATCTTTAATATGTTTTCTGAATGGATTCTTGTAGTCTGAACTATTAGTGATGCAGGGCTTGCTTACTTTGACTAGTACTAGTAGTCAGTCACTGGTTTTGGGTGACCGCCATAGTGAAACAAACTGGTGGTGGGGAGGGCACACCCGTGGAAGAGAGGAAAAAGCCTGCAACTGCAACTTAATTGCAAATTAGCCAGCCGTCTTCCTTGTAATAAAATGATGCTTGCAAAAAGGCTTTCATTCCTGTGTCCCTTCATGTCTCTGTCTTCTGTAGAATTCAGCAGGTGCCTCTGGGTACAGTCGGTGGGTCCAGCTTCTATAACGGGGTGTTGATGTTTTCACAGAACTAAGCAGATACCAACCCCTGAAACATTATCTGTGTGAAAAGGGATATGTGTATTTAGTTTCATTCCTTCCCTTTGCATGTAATAAAAGTAGTTTTCACATAAGGAGGATAAAAACAATGTTGCAGTTTTGTCATTAGATTTTACTTTTCTGTGTTTATGTACCCTTTTTTTTTCTCTGCTTTGCCACTGACTTTTGTGACAAGGAGCTAATGTAAAGAAGGTGATTCTGAAAAACCCGTCCTGTATTGCTTAAGCATCAGCTCAGTGAATCTTCCTTTGAGCTGCAAAGCCATTCCGATATTCAGGATTTTAGCCAAGGCAACAGGGCAAAACTCTTCTGTTGCGCAAAAAAAAAAAAAAAAAAAAAACAAGGGATTTATAATGAACA